CTTTTCAATTGGCAATGCTATTCCTGGACGGCTATATGGTGGCAATCTCATGGACAATATAAATGGTACCGGAAAAGACAGGTAAGGTGTAGTCCATATCTGTTATATTGTAGCTAAATGATTCAATTCAAGTCAGGCTTTGAGCTATTGTGTTCTGTGTTTGTAGTTTCGGTCACCTGGTTGATACATATGCATGGAACCCTCATTGCCGATACCTTGATGGAATTGGTCCTAAAGGTAATTATGCTGTTTAGAATTGGTAAATTACAAGGGAACTGGTAGCACATGATATGGGTTGAATATACTCTGATTCAGAATATTCAACAACAAGAAGAGGAAGCTGTAGATCCCAACAAGTTGGGCCTGACTATATTCTAAAAGATGGGTTATCCAGTTTGAATTTGAACATCTATCATTTAAGTTCAACCTTCTTTTGTTGCCTTTTAAGATGACCTCTTTTGAGCATGACTCTTTTTAATGTGCATAAGCTTGGTTGGTCCATCTCACGATGTCCTACAATGCTTTATCACTTCATTTTACTATTTCTTTTGTTGCTTTCCTTGTGTTTGTCTATTTTCTGTCCTTATCAGTGAGAATTGTCTAAGTTTGCAATTTGTTTATGGTCCTTAATGTCTTTCTTTCCCATCCTTATTTACCTTATCAGGCATTTAATTTAATGCATTGACATTTATTTTATTAATACTATTTGTGGTCTTAAGCTAATTAAGTGCACTGTGCATCAGCCAAAATAACAAATTGTGGACTCTTCTTATCCTTTTTTTAATGGATTATTAACAAAGAATTATTGTCTTTTTATCAACCTTCACAGTTTTTCCTTCTGTACAAAAGCATCTTATCTAAATATCCTCATTATCTCAGCAAATACTTCGAATGCCCGAAATGATTGGCAAGGAGCTTGGTGGCACAGTAGTATAACGTTTCATTCAGGTATGGTCGGCTAATTTTTCATTTGTCATACTCGCATATGTTGAATTCTTTCTACAAGATGTGCACATGGATAAGCTTTTTGATATCTGTTCCTGACTTCCAGTTTCATATTCATTTTGAATTTATTTCTTGGGTGACGATACTATATAGTGCTTAATGTGATGATTGAAGGGCAGCACAGTGCATGATTGCCGACCAGTCTTGCTCTGCAAAGGATTAGGCAGCAAAGTTAAATGCAGATTTTTTTTTTTTTAAGAAAAATCAACTCAAATACCTAGGTGAAGATCACTACCCCAGAACCAGATCTCCAGCACAATACAAACATAGAGAACCGGAAAAACAGTCCAGATGGTAGATTAGAGGGCTATTACGATAGGCCACTTGGATAGGAAATTCAAGTCTTGAGTAAAATCTGACCATTTTAGTTGCAATATCAATCTCAGAAGTCTAGCGTCCCCATAGACAGCCAACTAACTAAGGTTCCTATTTATAGTATGACAACTACACGAGTAACACGAGCACATGTTAATATGACATTTTAATTACATCATGTTTGTCTTGGAAAACAGCTATTCCAATAATGCAGACATGTACGTTAGAGGGAAGGATGTCAAGATGACAATAATAAGGATTTTAATTTCGAGTTATCAGCCCGAATAGGCACATGTCCGAGCCATACCGGCATACAAACACATGATACACCTATATGTATCGAATTTCAGAACAACTAAAAAAAATAGAAAAAAATGTTACTGTCCAGTACAAGCTGAGTACCAGTATTGCAGACCTTGAACGATAGTACAGGATTTGAATATGGAGGAAATGAGAGTGCGATGCATGTATTTAAATTTTTAAGGTGGAGTAAAAATTGTTTAGTTCACAGGTTTATGAATTTTCACCAAACTATGATTACCATATTAGTCTGTACTTAAGATTTCAGGTGCCTAGGTAAGTTGTATTCCTTGTTTTTTTTTTTTTGTCCCAATCAAATATCTTCTGCTGTTTCAGTGTTGATCAAGGCTTCATGATCTTGTTCCTTATCATGTTTGAAGTTGTCTTCTGATAGTGTCCTTTACTAGATTGTATTCACTTCTCGATAAGTTCAAGACAGATTATTGCTACAGCCTCAAACATCTACCACATCGAGCCCAGCATTCAGGAACATTAGATGTAAAACTTGCCCTTAATTTGCAACACGTAGTAATGCTACTGATTTACTAAATTGCTTTGTTGAGCAGCTCTTGCTGCTATTTTGCTCAAGTTGTTTTCTCCATCATCTGACCTGACACAACCGTGTTTCATCCAGGCATGGTGGAGGAGGACAGCCCATATGGAAAAGATGGCGAGAAGGGCACTTACTTCTTTGAATTCTCGAGACCCTTGAGGACAATGGATCGATTCCAACAGGTGCAGAGACGTCCATTGCTCATATTGCTTCTTATTTCCTGATCTAGGATGCCAATGTCAATGGGAAGACTATCGGATTTACTCTCTTGGCTGCAGGATGTCCAATTCACAATCGGACAGGCGAGCAAGGTGGCCATGGCCTTCTGGTACCCGACCAGCGGCAATCCTTGGAGTAAATCCGATCATTATTCGGCGAGTTGTAATTGGCTGCCTCTGGACATTGCCTTGGCTTCTCCTGTATCTGTTACTCGAGCGTCGAGTGGATCATGGGATGCTGCCACTGCCTTCGCTATGCTACTCTCCGTAATTTCCCTATGTGTTGCAATTTTCATAGGATACCGGGTTTCCAGTACCAAAGATGTGCCCTTCACACCCATCGATCGTCTGTAAGGAGGAATGAAACATTTATGTTATGACTGCATCAATAGACTGGCAGTGAGGGTGACTGTGTATGCGTTATTATTATTATTATTATTATTATTATTATTATTATTATTATTATTGACATAGTGGATATGTATGTCCTTTTCCTAATGCTACATTTTCTAGTTTCACCTTTTGGAATTATTGTATTATATCATTGTTGCATTGAATATTGTCATTATAAATTTTTATCTTCCACACTACATATTTTTTTTCCAATTTTTGAAATTTTTTTTGTATCAAAGATGAGTTTGGTATATAACATATCTCCATTGTGGTGGTGGTCTTATACAGCTTCTTATATATATATATGTATGTATGTACGTACGTACATACGTACATACGTACATATATATATATATATATATATATATATATATACACATATATTAATGTATATCCTCCCTAATACTGATTTTTGTGGATCAACTCGTGTAAATCAGACTAATTAAATATTATCATTTATTGTTAAACTTCTTTAGCATATTGATCCCTATACTTAAAAAATTTACATTGACATCCTTATAATTATGAAAGTGAAAAATTTTACCCCATTTACCTTAACGTCATCAGTTTTATCGATGGAAGACATATCATGTGATAGAACATGTAGACTTATTGATTTTGCTATTAGCTTAGATAGTAAATAGAGTCGATGCTACAACTTGCAGAGGACAGTGAGATCAAGTGCTCCGTCCTCTTGGCGGCGGAGGTTGAAGATAAGGAGGAGTGGGCGAAGGTACTCCGCTCCTTCGTGACCAAAGAAGGGGAGGCTTTGGGTGGGCTCGTCCCTCACGATTGCGACGTTGATAGGCTATGCCTCGTTGCCTTGTCCACAACCATGGCGTGAAACTCAAGTGCTTCTCATCTTAACTTACCCCACGATTGTGCCTCGTCAACAGGCTCACCACCATCAATCTTCGAAGATGACCTCATTGCCTTGTCCACGACCTCCTTGATTGCTTTCCTAAAGGTGGAGATAACAACGGAAATGGCTTCACAAGGAAAGCAACTGCTAGATGGGCAACTATCGATGAGCAACTTGGCCTCCTTTAGTCTGAAGCCTCCTCCACCTTCATTGAAAAGGGTTGCTTGTCTCCCCCACCTTTGCTACCAATGAAAGGCATGCCATGATCGTAAATCAATCGATCCATGGCTTGTCATCCTGAAGTCAGAGTAGCCTATCGCCCACAACGCAAGATAGGAAGCACCAATCAAGGTAGTTAACAGCAAGCAACACCGTGAAAGCGAAGAAGGCGTAGCAACCCACTCCACCATGGCTTTCCTCATCGACGGCAAATAGGAGTCAACACTGCAATCATGAGGGATGAGCTCGCCCAAAGCCTCCCCTTCTTTAACTGTGAGGGAGTAGAGCTCCTTCACCCACTCCTCGTCCTCACCCTTTGTCGCCAAGAGGACATAGCACTCAATCTCACAGTTCACTACAAATATCGACTATATTCACTACCTAAGCCAATGGCCCTATATTTTCACCCATCAAAAATAATCATTTTGCTATTAACAAAATCAATAATTCTCAAGTGTATTTTTCGTTGATAAAATCGATGACATTAGGACAAATGTGGTTAAATATTTCATTTTCATAACTATAGGGATATCAATAAAAAAAATTTTAATCTAAGATCGAAATGCTAAAGAAATCTAACTATAAGAGGTAATCTTTTATTAGCCACATGTAAATCCCTTGTATTTTAAAAAGCTGTATGTTTGTTTCAAAATTCCCAATTGCTTTTATTTTTGGAGTCAAATCAAGTAAAAGAACAAAATAGAGAGAAAAAAAAGGGTGGTCACCCAAAAAAAAAGGAAAGATAATTGGAAGCATGACTCAAAAAAGGAAAGTCCGTTTCAAATTAAATTCCTTAAAATTGACCAAAAAAAGGAGCAACAAAAAGTTAAAGGCATGAATTAAAAAACAAATAAGATGACGACCAAAGATATGACATCATTCCAAATACAGGTTATTCAACTGTGTTTCAACATCCAAAGAAGGAAATTCCATCTACAATATTTATAGAATCTTAAGATTTTTGATGCATTCATATCATAGGAAAATCGTTCATTTGATATTTAGGCGATCTTTGAGTCAGGAAACAACTTATCTGCTAGCAGTGGTAAAGTTACATACATCGAGATCGATCTGCCCTAGACTCCGTATTGGCAAGAGCCATATTACCTGGACAACCCTGTCTGCAAATTTGGAATTTGAAACCAAGAATTTATATCCTTCCATTGAAAGGTAAAGATCCACAAGCAATTCTAGGGTAAATAGTATAGCAACTACAGATAAACAACTAGAACAAGTTGGATCACATCTATGCCAGCACAGATCAAGAACAGAGTTCAAGGTATCAGCAGCTGAAGATAAAAAGTGTCACACGAGTGAAGTTCATAAAACATGCATGAACATGTTTACTCTAGTTTATCTAGTTATTGCCTTTTCTTTGCATTGATGGGCTTAGGACTTTTTTCTGATATGATCTTCACTACACTGGTCAGTGCCCGAAGCCTGTCCCACACATTGAGACCATAGAGAGCTTCCACGAGAGATTCTTGAAACTCAAAGGCATTCTCTGCAACTGGGTACTGTTGAAAATGTAAAACAGTAAGTGCTTCAGCAAAGTCTGCAACACCTTTAACCTGTAACAAGGTTTCCTATAGCTGACCTGGATGGGTTTTGGGATCACGGTTTTGATATATGGCCACCACCTATCCTCAACCACTGACTTAACTAGACAGCAAGCTCGCAAGCCTTCAACACCAGCAAATCTTCCAAATCCACTGTGCTTTACACCACCAAAGGGCAAAGACTACAGTGAAAGCAATACAGCAGAAGTTAGAAAAACCGATGCGTCTGATCATATTTGCACCGAGAATTTTTCATGATGACAATACAAGATCAGAGTTTGGGTAACGTTAACTGAATAAAAATATGCAGGAATTTTAAACTGTCTATTCTTGAATGAAAACCTCAGAGCTTCTGGGTTAAATATACTTCATCAATGAAAATCTTTGATCCCACAGGAACTTGAAAGAGTACCTCTTTCCATCCAACTATAAGTCACAACAAATCTTTAAATACCAACCAATGAAAATCTTTCAAGACCAACCAATGCAGGAATTTTAAACCGTCTATTCTTGAATGAAAACCTCAGAGCTTCTGGGTTAAATATACTTCATCAATGAAAATCTTTGATCCCACAGGAACTTGAAAGAGTACCTCGTTCCATCCAACTATAAGTCACAACAAATCTTTAAATACCAACCACTCGGGGAAAGATGTCACTACATTGAGTCCTCCTGTTTCCTTCACCATAGTTCCAAAAACCTAGGGAGAAAATATACTTTATAGTTCATTTCAGTGATCAATATGCCTTGTTGCCTGAGCTAATCAACCACTGATATGGTACATGTCCTTCAATGCCCTGCCGATGCATCTGCATGGCAAGTCATGGACCATATAAATTCACTTTAGTGGCATATGCGAGTCTCTGATCACACTGGCAAGGTGTGATATGCACCAGCAATAATCTGCCATACATAATGGATTGGTATGCCTCTGCACTATGCTGATATATAACCAGCATGGTACCAACAGGTGCATGCTCTAGCAATTTTATCCTTGCTTTCTCCAAGCTATATGATCAAAGAGACTATTCCTCAGAAAAATCGCTCTATTATCTACCGAGCATAAAAGTTCCATGATAGTTGAACATCAGCATGTGTAAATATTCAATCAAAAGACGAGTCCAAATATCTCCAAAGTACATATACAAAAATATCATGCAAAAAGAAAAAAAAACAGAGTACTAAATGAGACATATATCTGTCATGAACATGACAAACATTAAAAGATCGAGTACCTAGGAGTATCTTGGTGAGCTTTGATAATGTATAGATATATGCTCAGGCAACACTAGAAAGAAATTTGCTTAGGAAGCAAGAGCAGAAGTATGCCAAATTATAAAAATTACCTGGCACATGTAAGTTGAAGCAAAATCATTGATTGCTGCTACACCACAGTGCAACTGGGAAGCAATTGCAATTGCACGTTTCTGGTTCCCAGAGAAAACAGCACAACCAAGACCATAATTCGAGTCATTTGCAAGTTTGATAACCTCTTCATCAGAACTAAATTTCATGATTGGGATGATTGGTCCAAAAGTCTGTTAGATAAAATACTTAGAAACTGTATGATGGAACACAAGTGAATGCTTGAAAGATTTTAGTTACCTCTACTTGCATCAATTTCATTGTATGATCAACATTTACTATTACAGTTGGAGGGAAAAATTGATCTACTGCATCTTCTCCCAGATGGCCAAAGTTTCCTCTACCTACAATTTCAGCTCCTTTGTCCAGAGCATCGTTCACAAGATTCTGAAGCTTTTCAGAGTGTTCTTGGACACATATAGCACCCATATCATACCTTCCAGATAGCGGAGGCCCCTAGAAAAGATAATAAAATAACAAAAGGATTTGATTTCCTCTGAAATTTTGACTAGTCATCTGATAGCCAGATTCTATAATGACGAAACAATTTGCTGAACAAAAAAGAAGCACCTAGCTCTTGTGCTACATAATCCAAAATGACAATTCAGGTAGTTACACAATGTTTACAATTAAAAAATAACCTATGTTATATTTCAAAATTTGACCAGGAAAATTCCACTTATCAACCAGTCTGAAACTGTTTCAGATATGATGACCTACAAATTACCTACAATGGCTCTGGGATATCATTAGAGGCTGTTTGTACTGCAGATAACACAAAAGGCACAGACGGGGAAGGGGAACCTATCATGACACTATGATACTGCTATCATGAACAAAATCTACTAAAATGGACGTGTTAAGGCTTATTACTCAAACTTAAACAACCACAAGACTTCTAGCCATGTCTAAGGAACACATGGGAATTTCATCCAAATTTATCTCAGATATTCAAATCTAAAGTCAGGAAGGATGATGTTTCCAAGAAGCCAATTATGAAATTGGGTGGCATCACAGGGTCAGACTGGTAAGGATAATGGGAGCCGAAGTGTCATATTAGACCCAAGTTCATTGTGATCTTAAACTAAAATTAGGTCCACTACTGAAGTGTACAGTTCAGGTCAGTCAAAAACCATGACTAGACACAAACCATGCCTCATAGGACTAATGCTTGCAGCATTACCTAGTTCAAGCTTAAATTTCAAGTTGGCATAGACCATTTTCTTACATCAAGGACTTTGTAACAATTGAAATAATCGAGATAGTGCTGGAAACCATGCCTCTTAATTCCTCTCATCATCAACTTATGTAACAGACAAAAGAACGAAATAGATATCCTATTTCAACTTTTTTAGGAATACAGATGTTAATGATAAAGCAAAGTATGCACCTTCATTCAGAAAGCAACAAGACTATCTCTGTTTGTCGACCAATACTTTAAAAATTATATAAAAGATCTCCCATTATCACTTCTATAGAAAAGAAAATATTAGAAATCACAATGAATGACAAGATTGCACTTCATCTGTTGTTTGCTAAGCAAGACAGTTTGTACTTACAACAGAAATTGATTTCACAAGAGTGACTATCTGATCAACAAAATCAGGATAGATTCTTTCATGAACATAGAATCTTTCAGCACCAGCACAATTTTGTCCACTGGATTGAAGAGCACCTCTCATGGCAACTTGCACAACCTAAACATCAAAATATTTTTTTACAGACATATTAGGGGCTCTGGCAATTTGCAAAGAACACCTCACTTAGAAAAGAATACTGTATGTTAGAGGAAAGAGCTATAAACACAAAACAAGCTTTCTGCAAAGGGCACGAGTAAAATTAGAAATTTTCATACAGTAGGCAAGTCTATGTCTTCACACACTATAAAAGCATCTTTCCCACCAAGCACGAATGTGACTGGTATTAAGGTCTCAGAAGCCTTCTGCATGATCTGATATAAGAAAGCCAAAAAGAGAAGTATGAATAGCACAATTAAATAGATCTCATAACCATAAGTCATGGTACTCCAAGACCATAGCTTTAACTAATGAACCTGAAGAGACATTTGGTTTAGTTCATGTACAAATTTTGTTATTTAACATCTATACAAGATAATATTGATCAGAAGCCTAAACTTCTAGGTACAAATGTTGCTGCTACATGAATTGAACAACTCATCAAATCTGCAGGTTCTACGAATCAGAACTAAGAGGCAAAAAGAGCATAATAAATATCTCTAATCGACTGTCCAGTGTCAAGTTAAATTCTATTATGTCATCTAGCAAACCTGTGAGTTAGAAAAAAAACAGCATGATTTTTTTTCTACATCTTAGTGACTTGAATACAGAGCTAGTAGAGCAGCGAAATGGAAGTTATGAAAGTTATATCTGGGAAGATGGACAATATTAAGATTCTTCCAAAGCAAGAGAAACACAGTCACCAACAGCTAGCAAATGCATTATCGGATAACAGAATCTGAAGAATAAAAACTTTTAGCAGCTGAACAGTTATATGTGTGTGATGCTCAAACATGAAAAAAAATTACACATTAGGTAAGAAAAGCAATTGAAGACAATAGACAACTACCAGCAATAATTGTAAGCTATTACCATCTTGCCTACTCCAGGTGATCCAACAAAGATTATTTTGTCAACTGAAGATACAAGAGCTTGTCCAGTTTCTGTAAATCTGGTAGGCAAAAAGCAAAGCTGCAGCATTAAATTAAGTTGTATATGATTCACTTTCAGCACAACTATAAATTCCTGAAAACGTCTGGATACCCTGTTATTATGTGAACCAGATTTTCTGGAGCTCCAACAGCAGCAAGGGCAGCTTGAATGATTCGGAAATAAAACAACCCAGACCAACTTGCGTGCTCTGAAACCTGCAAGTCACTTTTCCATTTCAGACTAATGCAAAGGTGATAATCTACAACAGATACTTGGAAGTTGGAAATATAAACAACTTGGTATGCACAAACTTTATCTCAGTAACAAAGACATGTGAGGTGATCTCTTGATGACTTGGTTACAAAAAAAATATATCCAGCAAAGAATGTATCAGAAGATAACTGCAGTAACCCACTTTAGTTTAACACCAATAACAACACGGACAAGAAGGCAAGAGAGACACACCAACAGATGTGTCCTTTGCATTTGGAGATCCACATAAACAAAAATTAAACTGAACTGCAATCTATGTTAACAAACATTTAACTTTAAAAAACCAATTCTTCTTGAATAAAGAAGTCCAGATAAATCTATATCAATGCCATTCAGCTCAAGTCACTAAAGAGAAAAAAAAACTATTAATTAGGCTAATATATCAACTTTAGCCATTGGGAATGTGTTTTCTTTTGCAAGCTTGACAATTTCTGAAATACAGAAGCACTAAAACCAAGCCTACTTTTCTGTGTTAGAAACATTGTAGAACAGAAAGACTCTATCAAGAATAAAATTTTCCATAGAACACATGTTTATTGTGGTGAAAGTTCAAGCAAAAAACTTCCTTCAATTTTGGTAGAGTATAAGCAATATTTTTCTAATATTTGACACCATCTAGGACTACAAAGTCATAAAGTTAAAAGGTATATTAGCCTTTGAAGGCAAAGCACACCTTACAGACATTGTAAGAAAGACCATGATAACTGAAGAATTTCTGAAATATATTCAGGTACACAGTTCTGCAAGGTAACTTAACATCATGAAGGAGCAACAACATCCTAATTAAGTAATATACCTTTATCACTGCAGCATTTCCTGAGAATACTGCTGCTAGCATGGGGTTGAAAACATTGTGGAAGGGATAATTCCAAGAAACAATAGCTCCAATTACCCCGAGGGGATAAAATTCCACTTTTGCTCTCTTGTGCAACATTGAATGCCCAGAAGACCTGGAGTTAGAAAATAGTTGAAGAAATATCATCTATTCTCTGTTAAATGCTTAATTTGTTTCTCTAAGAAAAATTGCTCTGTATAACAATTTTGTGAATGCCGTTGTCCACTATGTTCCCAAGTATAAGGAAATTTTAGAGTCTGATTTGACCGCTACTAAATTTAGCTTAAAATGCAATAAGGTATAACATTCCTGACAAGTATGCCTTGCATTCTTAGGCAAATCTTGCCTTAACTTGCCATGGCTAGTAACTTGTGCTCAACTTTAGAAATTTAGAGTAGCCACCAAAATTTGATACTAATTCCATGAAGTTTTCTGGTTCTTAGTAATGCTTTATGGTTCAGCCCATATTGATAGAACAGCTGGGACAATGATCTTGATAATAACAATGTCGATGAAAAGTGAAAAAGAATTTTCATCAGTTCTTTGTAAGGAGCTGAGGGAAGGCATGTATTTTGATGTTTATGATCGTTATTGTTGTGTTGCCTCATCACTTAATTGTGTTGCCGGTGTTCCCATGTCTGTCCAATGATTTGTCAAGCCATGCCACCAAGAGATACAGTGGCAATGATTTATGCAACACTGAGGATCAATTTATGCAACCATGCTCTTGAATGCAAACAGTTGTTTTTATGACTGGAACCTGATCACCCGGGTACAAAAGGAGCAAATTTACCATGGAACCAAGGCTCGATCTCACTGAAGTCAGATATTTTGACCCCCTATCTTTTTGTGACTCCGTTTATGCTTTTTTCCCTTTTTCTTTTCTCACTGAAGTCAGATTATTTATTTCCAAACACAATGATATGTATTTTCTACAAGATGAGAATGGTTTTGGCCATCACTCTGCATGTAATATTGGAAAAATAATATCTTTCATCAACCATTTTCTAATCTGTCCTGCATAAGCCTACACCAAACAAGTAACAAAAACATTTTTTTTTTTACCAAAGTAGAGATGGTTATCTAGGTTCTTTGTTCCAAAAGAACTATAAATCATCATAATCACTGGTAAATCCATGGTATGCAATTTCGAATGGTACCGTCTAGTGCGGGCGGTACGTACCGGTCCAATGGCATACCGGTACGTGGACCGCCCGCTACCAGATGGACAGTGCTACAGTAAGAGGAAATAGCTCGGTAAACCTTGGTATACCGCTCGGTATGCCGGTACCGTACCGTACCGAGCCAACCTCGAAACACCGGTATGGTACGGTATTGCATACCTTGGGTAAATCAATATTCAATGTGGTGCCACAAGAATCAAGACTAAGCGAAACAAAAATATTATGTAAAAATAACTAAGACAAATATGAAAATAAACACTCAAATTTTAAAAGAAATGCTCATGCCAAACTAGAACTTCAGCAGACAAACTAGCACACATTTGTATTGCATCAAAGAGCCTAATTTTGAAAAGACACAATTCATTTGACAAAAACAGAAAGAAAGAAATGCAGATTTAGTTGAGTCAGATATGAGAATTAACCTGTATTCAGGCTTTAGCCACCTCTCACCCTCAGCCAGAAGCCAAGTTATTTTTTCACATGTTGTCATTATCTCTCCTAAAGAAGCATCAACCATTGTCTTTCCAGTATCCCTAGAAGATACCCTACAACAAATGAGAAATCATGAGGTTGTTGCATTGTTCCACATTGACAGAGAACTATAAAGAACTTAAGGACTGAATGATACCATTGAAAACGAGGAATTCAAACACAATCGTTATTTAGTTCTATGCTACTCAAGCCACCCAAAAGAAAGGTAGGCTGTAAGACCAATCAGAATTATTTGGGCATTTCAAAACAGTCACCCTAATGCAAGTTCTTCAAAAGTATAAAATGGTAAAGTCCCATAATATGATATCAGCATAAACATTTAAAATGTTCTGAAAAAGGTGCTCAGTACTTCCTAAAGCTAAAATGCCTTCAATGCCATGTTGCATGTTAACAACTTTGAGGAAAAGCGATAGCAATACCCTTGAGGCTAGAAAGCATGTATAAATCCCTACGAAGAGAGAGAAAGAGAGAGCGCTTTCACTCAAATTTTGTTCCTCACTCGCATATAAGCTTCTGATGATCAATTATATACTTCAGAAGGATTCTCAAGAATTCTCGTCTCTTACGGAAGCTGCTACTTGCCCATATTTTTTGTGCCTCTCTGGCTTGTGCAACATGCTCCTTGACCTGATCAAATAATTTGTAAACACTTTTCAACATCCGCAAAAAAGCAACAAAAGTGAGTTCTAAACTAATCTTCATCAATATTTAAGACAAAGACAATACTGAATATCATGCCCAAGGATTTAAAAGTTAAGAACCAAAGCTAACTTGTTTAGAATTAATAGTTATCAGAAGTCAGAAGATAATAGTGAAGCCTAAAGCACACGAACCTTATGATGTCTCCCAGCCAAATTTACAGGACATATGGGAAAATCATATTTGAATCTAATTATAAAAAAATTCAATGTATATGATGCAGCTGAAAAGACAGTTCTAAAGACAACAAACACGTTAATTTCACTAAAATTTATAAACACATAAAGTTAAGGACTTCTGTTCTAACTTCCTGCATCCTTTAGGATCCTAGAGCTTGATGCCTTTTGAATGAAGGAAGCTAAATCACAGAAGTTGAACCGTTAATTTGATAACAAAAGTTCCTATGCATGAGATCCTTTCTTCCAGTTCTTTTTTGTATGGTAAAAAGGATCAGCATTTTTGAAAAAAACAATAAACATACATTGTTATCCTCGAGAAAGACAGAGACAAATAAGAATAAGAAATTGCTTAACACAGAGCAATTAATCTTGGTAGAGAAGAAAACAACTTGACCAAGAAAGTGAGATAGAATCAACACGACTAAGCAAGTGAGATATAATTAACACATATCCTTTATTTGACAAAATTACAACAATCAAGAATCATCATGATCATGAAATCAACGGCTATATCTGTGCCACCAGCCAACTTTATGTCTGTTAGAAATAAAAGGTGAATTCGTAAAATCAAACTGTGAAGAGAATCCATGAATGGACTACAGAGTTGTGTGATCCACCTCATCCGGGGTTGAAGCTTGGGTAAAGCCCAGGTATTTCATAGTTGCTGGCTCGTAGCATTGAACCTTGTCTGTTTGTGGCACTCTCCCCTTCCTTGGTATCTGCAATAGATCAAATATATTAAGCTTCAAGTCTCTCAGATATTTGATTAATAAAAATACAAACAAACGGGACGAACTATGACCAAATTAAAATAAAAGAAGCCAAATGAGGCAAAACCACAAGAATTCCAACTTAATCGACTACAGTTTGGTAATCCAGTTACAGGATTCCATGTTTAGAGAGCAGCATCTCAAGTTCAAAAACGGTAACATTGCAAATTGAACTTTTTCCTATAATAACCTACCGCGGTTCGACTCCTTATATGTTTATGAAACATAAGAGAACGCCATAACAGGCATGAGATCCAATCAAACAGAAAAAAGAATGCTGACTCGACAGAAGAACAGCAAAATGCATGTGGAAGCAATAGCATTATTAAGGATTCTCACATATATGAAGCTGTTCTCTTTGGTCTGGCTCCCATCTTCGAGCACTGAATCAATCCGAGCACAGAAATCACGAAAACAATCCCCCGTAAAAAGCAGAAAAGAGAGAAAAAGGAAGGGAGAGTCGCGGAATGTACCATCGGATGCATCGACCTCGATGGAGGGGACGCTAGGGGGAATGAGCATCAGGAGGAAGCGGCATACCACGAAGGCGACACCGAGGACGAGCAGCGGCCACCAGAACGCCATCGCCGGAGCTCCAAGCGTAGTTCCTGAGCAACGAGGGAGAGGGAATATAAGCCCCACAGGAGCCGGGAAACAGAGCAAGGCATTCGTTCTTGCTTCCATCGGCGGCTTTTACTTATTCGTCCCATACGAAGCCCAATATTACGCTTCTGCACCTGATGTTGTCCTATTCGAAATTCTAGAAATTATGAGGACCGAATTATAATAAAACCCAAATTAAATTGCTCAGACATTATTACTGCACAAACGTATCATTTTATATCATTTCAATTAACAATAATTACAACACATCATGCATATAATGTTTACATACGATATATGTTTCGTAGCCAGATTTCATAATCTAAATAATGGAATCAGGATTAAGTGTGCTTTCAACTTTATAAAAGACATTAAAAGAGGTGGGGGAGGGAAAGGATTAGGATTCCTCCTTGTCTTGGTTGTGGGATCACTTGCGGATGGAGGCAACAGTTGTTTGTTATCTTT